AGCCGTGAAACAAGTCCACTTATGAGTCCCCCACTTTACGCTCTTGACACGAGTAATGATATTTTCGATGTCGTTGCGCGCGAAAGGCTCTAAACTCTGCTCTGCTTGGAGGGGAGAGCAAGGAAGGAGAGTAAAAAGGACGCGCGGAGGGAAACCGAGAGAAGTGAAGAGAACCGGGCATCTGTAGTCTCGGCGGAGAGAACGTCGCGAGGAGGAAGCGTGTCACTAAAACTTTATAAGCAACCCGGTCGGGGAATTCAGACAGACAGCGAGGGACGTTAAAAAGGAGTCGGCACCGGTGGATTTTACCTAAGGGGGAAAGCCAGGGGAGGGTTGAAGACGACGGTTACTCAAGAAAGAGAGAGAGAGAGAGAGAGAGAGAGAGCGGGTGAGAACAACGCCAGAAATGAAGGATCGACGCGAAAACAATCACTCCTCGGGCGATTCGACCGATTTTTAATAAAATTAAAAGGAATTTTTCCGCGGCGAATGTCGACGGCGATTTATATTTACCGTTACTTGAGAGACGCGAAAAAAATATCTCCCCGGCGAGAATGTCTGCGAATTATTGATCGACGGCGCCGGCTTTTAAATCGATCATTTATTTGCCGTCCTGCACGCCGGTATCGCGCGCCTGACAGCCTTGTTACGGAAGTTGCATAATCTTTGGCCGCGCTATAGCCGGCGTTACTCAGCTAGAAGGCTGCCACAACGGGACCTATTCTACTTGACGTCCGACGTTGATTGCCGTCGTGGTTGTCACTCATTGTCAGATTACAGCTACGTCTCTACCCCGCTTTCAGCGGCGACGTTCCGTCAGCCTCTTGCGACACCTATACCAACAAAAATTTACATCGCCGGCCTTTTTTCTAAGTATAATTTTACAGATATTATAAAAGAGTAGAACGGGGCGAAGATGTCGCTGAAAACATACGTTTTCTATCAATCGTGTTTTTCATCATTCAGAAGATTTTTTCGTTAATTACAAAGCACACAGCGTTAGTTTTTTTTACTTATAAGTAATAAAAAAATAGTCAAAAAGATTCACGATACGAGAACGAAATTTTATTCTTCGCTTAATTTTAAACTCCGAATTTTTATCTCCGAATTTCAATTTGGAGTTCAGTTAAAGAATTAGGAGTTCAGTTGGTTGCAAGAATATTTACAATTTAACGTTTAGAAATTGCGCGAAAGACGCAATAAAAAACGTCCGTGACTGAAAACAAGCGCGGTTAATGGGGCAATTTTCAGCTCAATAACCGTGGAGAATTAAATAGCGTATACTTAATAACAAAGAAATGTATGCTTAATGATAGCGCAACTTTTTTATAGTCAATTAATGTGGGGTGATTCGGGACGATTTATCGTTCACAAACAAGTACGGATGCGAGCGCTACGTGATAAATCCAACGTGATTAAGTTACCAACGACGAGATTTATGTGGGGAAACATAGCGCACAATGTGCGGATGGACGGACGGCACATAAATGCCGTAAATTTATCGAGGTGAATGTAAACATTATGAATCTGCTCGCGCGCGTCGCAGCGTGGAATATGTCGTGCGATGCTCGCATTTCCTTTCCTTCTTTTTTTTTTATGAACACTCAGATTTTTATGACAGTACAATGTATTTTAATAAAGCTAATTTCCTCGAGAACCGTTATTAAAAATAGCGAGATTAACAGCACGGTATTTTCAACACTTGAAGGGACTTGAATGTATACGGCTGAAACATACATAATGGGCACCGCGTTACATTTTGCCGACGAAATGAATATTTCTACGGGAAGGAAGCGCGTCGTCTTCATTTTAAAGCTAAAGCGCTCTCAACGGATTAAGTTTAAAAACCATGTTTCCGTATGTTACACCGAATTACGCCCGTAATCAGTGCTCTAATTATATTACATTATTTACTTTCGTTATGTTGCGAAAGATTTTCTCTTGTTTGGTTTCTAGGTCCAGTTCACACAGTTCCGCTCCCGGATGTTTGTTTCATCGTTGGCAATCGTTGTCGTTTCCGCCATTATGATTAAAATATTTTGATTTCGCACTTAACACCTTTGAAACTTTTCAACTTCATTTCAAATTGCCACATGACTCGGTACGGTGTAGCGAAGAAGCACTCACGTGGAACAATCGACATGCATTTGTTCCATACAATTAACACGCGTTCGAGAGACAAGATTTCGCGGCACAAATTCTACTTTAACAAATTCTATCAATAATTTCTGAATTGATTTCAGAAATTTATATTTTAATGAGAGAATTATTAATTGATTTTAAGAACGTGGGAATAAAATATATACCAATTATTGACAGTAATTGATACAATTAAAAATTTAGAGTTTTAAATTATATTTAAAATATTCTTTTGCAAAACAGTCTACAAAAACTTAAATAAATAATTCATGATTTTCCACGGGCGCATCACCAGCCGTCCACAAATAAATCCCTTTTTGTCACGGACGAACGGAAAGGCACACGAAAGTATACATTATTCATTATTAAAGACTACTTTTGTTAGTTTTAAATAATAAATTCATTACGTATAGAATTTGATCGCTTTGCTCTCAACCGTGCTCTCCTCTGGCCAAATTAAAGGCGAGCGATTAAAGTCATAAGGCCTCTTTTTCTTGCTTTTTTTAACGCTTTCCCAGCAATATAAATCCACGACAATCGGTCGCGCAACAAGATTGCTTCGAATTAATGAAATTCCAGGCGGTGCGTAAGAGAGACAAAACTGAAACGAAATCCAGACGAGAAGAGAGCAATCTCGGTCGAACTGCAGCCGGTTCTCCAATATTTCATTAAAATTATTTGGAAAACCCACACAATAAAAAAGTCGATCGCGGCCGCTCGGTACGGAGCCCGCTTTTATCGATAAATTGGCGCTCGTTTTACTTCCTTCTTGCTTTCGCGCGCGTTCTCTTTTATTTTTTCGTAGCGTTCCCTCCAATTCGTGATAGCTCCAGCTTGTTCCCGACGTATAGCCGCCACTCGCTGTGTTTCTAAATTGCGTGATTTAATTCCTTTAATATTCACGATTTTCGAACGAAATTGCAAATTACTGGAAATGATGAACACAATGAAAATTTATCTTCATAATATTTCTTGTATTATTATCAAAAACGTTTTATTTGCAAAAAAAAATGTTACAAAATTTTTTTATAATTTCGTAGAGTAATTTGAACGATACGAAAATTACATTTTCCAGTTATCTCGTCCGTGATCAATAACAGTCCGATAAATTGGCCTATTCAAAAAATTCCTGTAGGCATTCACAGTCACGTAGGAAAAATTCAGGTCTCTGCTTATAATTACAAAGAAATGTCTTAACGTAACATTTTTTTATAATTCCGTGGGGCAATTCGAACGGCACGAAAATTACATTTTCCAGTACTCTCGTCCGTGATTAATAACAGTCCGATAAATTGGTCTATTAAAAAAATTCCTATAGGCACTCACGGCGCCGTCGTTCACAGTCACGTAGGAGAAAACTCGTGAAAAATTCCGCTCTCCGCTTTATTAAATAGAGACTCGGGACAGAAAGGGTTTAACGTAGCGACTTCCTTTCTCTTAATCCCGGTTCGCGGGGAATAGGAAAAGTAGCCTCGTCGGCGACCGGTTGAGGAGTCGGTCGCGTCGTGGCATTAATCAAGGCGGCTGCGAAACGGGGAAGAGGGCGAGCAAGGGTGGCGCCGGGGATGTCCTGCGGGAGAATTAAAAAGTGGGGAAAAAGTTTGCTGCATCTCTCACGCGCGCGCAAACGAGACTCTCGTTCCCCGACGGGATTCTCCGTGTGGGACTTTTCTTCCACGCAATCGTTCCCTGCAAATCCTTTTTATGCAAATTCGCGCGTGTCCTTCCTCTCGAAGTATAAAGAGCGCGGCTCCTCTCCTCTTCCGACGTCCCGCCGATCGTTTTCTCCCCTCGATCGCTGGGATCTCCTCGAAGTTCTTTACGGCGTTTGCCACCGAGCTTACTACCGTTTTACATTAAAGTTAATAAAGCGGAGCTGCTATGGGCGCGCTTAACTTCGTTATTTCGTTCGGGCAATTCGTCCTTGAGTGGTTGAGATAGAACGACGACGACGACGACGACGACGACGACGACAACGACGATTGTACTACTGTTTGATGTAATTATTGTGGGATTGTGGGAATAAAAGTGTGAAGAGCGGAGCGGGGGCACGGGGGGGGGGGGAGCAGTACGAAAGGCGACCTTTTACGCGTGTATTTCATTTTCCAAGGGGTTGCTCCTTTTGTTACATCACAAGCGACATAGAAATATCCGTGCTGTCTCGGCTGCAGGTTTTCCCGAAGGTACCCACTCGTCTCGTAACATTTTTCCACGAATTCGATATCGGATAGCGTGCGATTTATACTCGGTGACATAAACGTAAAGCCGCGAGATAACAAACTCGGCGTGTTACTTGCGCAAACAGGCCGATAATTTGCGATAATGCATATCTAAATTTACGTAGAAGGTGCAGATTTCGAAATTTGTAGGATAGAAATTGTGTATCATGTACTCTTTTATTATCTTTCTTTAACATTGGAATAAATGTTTCATTAACAATAATATAACAGATATGAAAATGTAATAATAAAATAACTATTTCTATCAAACTATGTTTTTATCTAATATATTTTCATATGCTCATATAGCTTTAATCCATAAAAATTCTCAAATTATTGAATAAAAGAACTGCAGCCTTTGTAGAAAATATTACGTGTGAATCAGTTACATGGGAAAGTTGCGCAGATAAAACTTATTTATAAAAAAAACGAAAACTTTGATCATTATATTTCAAATTTAGAGCTAAACTCGCCAGTATATGTGTGTTTCAATTACAATGTGCCTTACAAAACTTTAAGTTTTCTTAAGCTCTTAAATTGCAAAACTTTACTTTTCATTCGATATCATTGGTTTTATCGTATATCATTGATCTCTTTGGTTTTTCCGAGATACGAATAAATAATTCAAATGTTTTCACATACCAATGGGACGTGCAGCTTCCTGTTCAGCGCAATTTGATGCTCCAACGATCGATCTCCGACTCTTTCGTCTGAAAAAGTGAACGATGACAAATCAGTATTTGCGTCGCATTCCGCTGTCGTGTGACATGCAGATTTGTCGGATGGATCTGTCGAAAGAATCAAACGCGTCAGTGCGCAACGCGATTTGCCGTTGTTGCAGCTATATATTCCACGATCGAATCCTCTCACCGAGTGGGTCCCCGCCAATTTATATTACGGATTTTTACGGGCAACGCCGCGTTTGATTTTGCGACAGATCCTCGCGGTTATAGTAGCCCTTCGTGCGCTCGCCTTCACTCTCGCGAGACGGGAAGGCGGTTACTCGCGGCGAGAAATCGGTATTGAGTTGCGACTGACGCGCAAAATCGCTTCCGTAAAGTTCCGCAAAGTCAAGTCGCTCCGAGAAGATCGGGGCGGGCGCGCAGAACAGTGCTTACATATTGAGAACTCTCCACGGTGACGGCACAGGGAGCCTTGTATCTCCCCGCAGCTATGAATAATTATTCCGCGATACACGATCCACTGCAGCGTAACGTAACACACAGCAAATGCCCGGAAACTCTTTGAGTGGGGGGGGG